ATGGCCCTATGGTCAACCTCCGGAATTCTGATCATGTCTGTAGAGCATATCGAATCCATCCTGGTCATCACCGACTCCATCTCGGGCGTGTACTCAACATCTTGAGTTGAGTCATTCATTAATGCACTCTCCGGGTCAATGACCTCACATAATGACTCGACCTCATCCACGACATCATGAACTATCTTCTCCTCACAATCATCATCTCGAGCCCCTTCAGCTTCACCCTGCATAAGCGAATCCTCCAATGAATTATTCCCTGCACCATGCACCGTATCTTCCTCCGAATCCACACACTCGCTTTCATCGATAGTGATCGCACCGTCACCGAAATGTAGGTTTGACGTGGTTTGTAATCCCGGATCGTCATGAGAGGAGATTCTTCTAACATACAAATTGCTGATGTCCTCACTCGTGTCGAGAGATTGTGTTCCATCATAAACGAGAGTGAGGCCTGCCTCTTTGAGAGAAGCAAACTGTTCTACCATAGCTCGAAATTCGCCCTCTAACCGTGCACTTTCTCGACACACTTTTGCCGATAGAGAAGAATATCTACCAAGCGAAATATGAGATGTGTCCAAGTTGAGAAAAGCAACTATATTAGAGTCGAACTTTGTGAGTTGAGTTTGAAGTACGGATGGAACGGGAATGATCCTCCAATTATGAAACTCCTCTATGATTGATAGGAGGCTCGCAAGTACCTCTTGAGTGTTCGTCAAAACCTCTTGGTGATAGTCGGGAGATGAAGGTTTGTAATAAGGCATCTCGTAGTGATTTGAAGTGTAAGAATCGTATCCGCCTTGAGATGTCGTGTAAGAATGGCTCGGGCCATACTCTTGGGATGTCGAGTATCCGTCATAGCAATAGGAATTTGAGTAGTTCGGATACGGATAGGGCGGCCCTCCATATGAGTGATCTTCTCTTGGTAGTTGTCGGGGTATCCACGAGATGAGCTTCCGGCATAAGAATAGCCATACGGGTCCATCGGAGCTCCTCAAGTAAAACACCTCGCACAAGAAAAGCAAACAACCAAGGCACACGAGAACAAGAAATACATATATATATATATATAATAATAATAATAATAATAATAATAATTTTTTTCTTATGATTTTTACAAAAAAAAAAAATAAAAAATAAAAACAATAGAAATGAAAAATAACAAAATCAAGAGAAAGACTGAAATTAAGCAAATATCACAAAAATAAGAGAAACACGAAAAATAATATCAATACCAAAACCAAATGTCCTACTTGCCTTCCCCGGCAACGGCGCCAAATTTGTTGTAACACAAATTATTATTTTTATTGTACCGAGCACCGAATCGAATGATTCGTTTCCCGGGTCGATCTCTCGAGGAAGACTGTTCGGAATCTAGTATTGGTGTCGAAATCACAAGAATGGAAAATAAAACCTAAACATTCTAATCTTGATATGTTTGGAAAATGATTAACTAAAATAATAACATAAAACAATAATCTAACTAATATAAATGACACAAAGATAAAGATGCTAGGGAATCGGGAATAAATATTTTGAATCGAAATGCAATCATCGTCTCGTGATAGTTCGGTTAAAGAGTTCGAGTCACCTACACGTTTAGAGGTTCATCCTCAATACCTTTCGGATTATGAGAATAAATATAAACGGTAAATTAACGAGTTGTTTAACACATAGACAATACCTTTCGAATTATGTCTATTTTGTACGAGTCTCGATCGATTGACCTTTCCCCTTTCGGTTCAAGAGTCAATTAAAATAGACTATAGGATTTTTAGTCGTCTAATCTATTCGGATCGTGATCGTCACAATAAAACACATCATATTCAATTTGAAAACAAGTTTAACATTGAAGTGTCACTCTTCAATACTTAGAAATCAATTGCAAGGTTGAATTGTCACTTTTCAACAATGTCATTCCAAAGTAAAAATCGAAAACCGAATTTAGAATTAACTCATACAAAATGAACAATCGACGAGTACGATAATCACATACGAAATCAAATATCCATCCCTATCCCTAGCAAATGATTTAGCTATTCATATAAAAAATAAACTCAACATAAGATTCATTGCAAATTATCATTACAAGAAGGAAAACTTACAAGTAATCCAAGTCGAGAAATAAGTAAAGCCAAATCGAATATCGAAACGTTTTTTGAAGAACACCTCCAAACTTCAACACAAGAACAAAACTAATCTAGAAACACACTAATATAAAAGTGATGGTAGTTATGAAAGGATAATTTGGATTGTGAGGGATGTAGATGAAGGATACAAAAGAAGGTATTTATAGATGGAAAAACACTAATTCTTAATGAATTCTTGCAACAAGACATATGAAAGTGTTCAATGATCACTCCATGATGAATTAAGAACTCAAAAGAATGGACTAACTTTGGATTGGTGGGAAAAGATGTGAAAATGAAGAAAACAAGAAGAAGATAGGTAGGATAATGGAGGAAAATTGGTGAAGAAAAGGAGAAGAAATGGTGTTTTGTGGTGTAAAAATAGCTCACCAATGTTCCATGGTCGACCAATACATGTACCAAGGTCAAAACAATCAAGAAAAACACATTTTTTTAGTTGAAACAGGGTCATTAGCGCCGCTAAGGGACCTTAGCGGCCGCTAACCAAGTCTCTGTTGGCCACTAGCGCCGCTAAGAAAAACTGCACTGCGCAACGTTACGGTTTTGGCTCGTTTGGGCTCGTCTGAACTCGGAATTGAGTTCTATGTTTTTCCTATGAGTAGCTAACAAACCCCTCTATCCAATGATGCTTGAAAACCACACTTTTGCCATAGTACAAATTATGTAGAATTTCCAACCTTTAAAGGGTCGGTAACTTGCGCGGCTTCACGTTTTGGTTCCGTCCGGGTTCATCCGAACACGAAATCAAATTCCGTTTTCTCCTATGTGTAGCCAACGAGTCCATCTACATAACCATGATTGCCCGGTCTATGTATTTCTCTCATGGTGCCTTCGACCTGCACACGAAAAACAAGAAGAAA